TTTTTCAGCATCAGTTTCTTTTCAATAACATTTAAATATTTAGATCCTACCTCACAGGAAACACGGCGAGTTTGCATTATTACGAAAGCAGAGGTTAATTTATTTTTGTACTTAATTTATTATGCGCTGTGCCGTAAAGACGTATGTAGGAGTGGAGGTGTAGTTCCATCGTTCGTAACCTCGGCATTAAGTGACTGGTCAGTTTTACGCTTTTGGCGCTTTAACCCAAGGGAAGTGGCATCAGGTACCCACTGGGCCCCAGAGCCGGTCTGGAGTTTATGAAGAAGAAACGTCTTGCCTCTGCAAGAAATCGAACCCAAATTCCACGAACGTCTGGCCAATAGTATAGTCACAATAGTGACCGAGCTATCCCTCGTCCATTCACTATAAATAAAAGAAATCAACCGATGTTTCGGAGGAACATATCGCCCCATCTTCAGACTTCTGCTTGTCACTTGCTTTCATATTGGCATATTACTCGGCTTATTAGACCCTGAAGATGGAGGCGATATTTTCCTCTGAAACGTCGGCTGACTTTCAACGGATTTAACAGCGTTTTATACCACAAAATAATACTCTTCGTAACCACCGGTGTGAAACATCAAATCGTACAGAAAATCTAATGTTTAACATTAATACAAATTCCTGAATTATATTTCTTTCCAGAAACAAAAATAGCATATATTCGTAAAGTTATTCCTAATTAAGCATTACTGTATGAAGGCGTGTGAGGAAGTGGATGTGTATAGCCACATTTTCTTAACCTCGACACTTGGTGGAGGAGAGTGGTCAGCTTCACGCCCCGGCCGCTTTACCCCCGCAGAAAGAGTCCCCGGCACCTATTATGTAGGAGGTTGGGTGGACCCCAGAGCCGATCTGGATGACGTGGGGAAGAGAGAAATGTTGACTCGTACCTAAAAAAATATTCTATATACATACAACTACTTAGACTTGAGTTCTATGTTCATTTTATTTTCCCCCTTTCTCCCTTCACCGTCAGAAATAAAATATCTGGCGTCTTCTATAAATGTGTATTTCTCTTTGTTTTTCTTTCATTTTCTCTTACTGTGTCCCTTCCCACATTTTCTGCAGTTTCCTGTGCCCCTACCCCACACTGCTACATTTTTATCTCATGAATTTTAAATGAGATTTGTCACAGTACAAACAGTATCTCGGGATAACATCCGCCCCTATAGCGTTTTAGTGTACGGAGCAGGAGTTCTGTACACGACTGCTCTAAATGCTCGCTTTAGTATGAACACATTTAAATACAATGATAATGCAACTTCTATAATATTCTTGTATCAGCTGTCCTGTCTATGAAATGCTGTTTTGTTTTTCCAGTATTATTTGAAATTGAAACAAATCTTAAAAAAATATATCTCACATACCAGAGAGAACTTGAATTAACAAAGTATATGATACAAGATAGGGGCACGCGGTAGCGCAGTTGGTTGAGGCACTATGCTACAAGCCGGAAGGTCACGGATTCGATTCCCGATGAGATCGGATTTTTCAGTTTACCTGATCCTTCCAGCCGCACTATGGCCCTGGGGTCAACTTAGCCTCCAATAGAAATGAGTACCTGGAATCTTCATGGGGGGGGGTAAAGGCGGCGGCGCTTAAGGCTGACAACCGCACCGCCATCTGTGAGCCGATTATCTAGAAAATATGGAAGCCTCGACATCTCACAATCCGATAGGTCTACACAGACTGTCAGAGGGATAGGTTTACCTTTTTTATTATGCAAGATATTATTTGAATAATAATGTTGAAATTTGTTTCATGTATGCCGGAAAGTTCTCAGATGAAATGTAAATAAGTCAAAGAGGAAATTTCTAAGAAATATTTATACAAAATGAACTGTGAAATATGTTGATTTTAAAACGATCTCGATAATTCTAATGAGCATATTAATGTCTCTGTTTGTATCTTTAAATCGACAATAGAGCAAACACTCGTTACGACGGACTAATATAAGGGACAGTATGGCTGTCATCGCCGATGTCAGCTATAACTGAGTGAAGGGGTATTCCCCGACGTGCGCCATAGGACACACAGCCAATACACGTGATAAATACAGAATCATACAATGTGATTATGTAAAGGATTTTACATTGAGGTTCTTTTTTATTTTAAATAGTTCCTGACTATGAAACCTTCTTAGTGCCTGAGCAGGTCTAATAATCCACAAGTGCAGAGAGCCAGATTTTTGCCGTTATAACGAGGATTTATTGTATGTTTAAGAACTGACGTTCTTCCGGCGTTTAAAATGGAAAATAGTTGGCTGGAATTGTGGTTCTCAGAGCGGTAACTCCGAAGAGTACAATCTTTGGGTTATGACGCAATATAGTCCTATATAAGTTAATCAACGTTTCGGAAACACATATTGACTCCATCTTGAGGGTTAACCAGCATGCTAATCAAGCAAAGTAAACAATCAACATGCTTTTCTTGCTACTTTCTTTGCATTATAGACCCTGAAGATGGAAGCAGTGTGTTCCTCGAAAACGTAGTGAACGTTACCGGACTACATGACGTCTCATCTCTTAAGATAGAGATAATTGTGTTCTGGGATTTGTGGCCGTGTAGTCTGGTATGTAGGCACAAATATTTCGGAATTTCCTGTTGCCTTCTTGTTGAGGGTGGCAGAAGCCTTCTGTATTCTGGTCGTCTTGCATTGTTCAACCACACGCCAGATTACTGTCCTCCCTTCCAGCTACATACGTAACAATATACCAGACTATACGGTGTTACACGAAGACAGTAATCTTCATAGCTATCCCTCAAGAAAATTAAATCTGTCATTGGTGTTTTCTTCCCTTAAGAATTCCTTGCGTCATGTTTCTGTCATGCGTGGATCTATACTTTTCCCTCAGACAGCCGTCCTTCCCTCATCAGTTCCAAACCATCATCACTGGACATTCGTTATGCTGTGCCCCTTTTTGGCCCCCTACAGGGCTTCAGTCTAATGTCTATGGTCTTCTATTCGACGAAGGTTTCCGCAAAATATCAGTCATTTTCATCTGTCCGATATTTTACGGTCCTATCTGCTTCAGCTTCTTTTTGTAACTACCTCATTCAGGACTTACCGCGAAGTGTTCACCATACATATCTCCTCAGACAACGCTTAAATCATTTATATCTGGAAAATATTTTCAACAGATTAGTTGCTGAGAGAAGGGCACTCATGATCTCCATATAAGGAGTTGTTTTCTTCCTTCGCAAATAATTCTTAGTAAATAAGAGGAACATCACGGGCTGTGAGAATTAGAAGCAAGGTCTTATTGTCTGCTTTACTTTCACTACATATTGAGTATTTGATAATACACGGACCGCATAGAAGACACCGCGTCCAACAGTCTTCTTATTGTTTCGCAAGTATTCGTTGCAGCGGGAACTGTTTACCGAGACAGTGCCTAGAATCGGTCGTCTCCTCTGTTACCACTATTCCGGCTTTCAAGCATTAGGTGGGCATACACATTCACACAAACAGAAGGTGATCTCATAAGCATCCTTTTATTTTTTTCGAAATTAGAAACGTAGACTAAGTATGAACTTGGAGAACAAGTACACTCAAAATATTACATATCTTCCTTCATCTTGTTGAAGAAGAGTGAGAACAGTAATTTGTCGTATATCCTGTAGAGTTTTAAATTTGGGGCGCCTGCATCATAACAGGAAGACGGTAGAAATGCAAATATGCCGTATAAATCATGCCCAGTGTTACGAATTGTGTTCTGGATTCATCGTCCACGTGTCCATGAAAAGTTCTTTGTACAACCCTTAGTGTTAGCAGCTGAAGTGTCTGATAGATTTATTAAAAATCCATTATGGGCGTCTTTCATTATGAGTTCTTGCATACCCCTTGAACCTCAGATTCTCACTTGGCCTCTAAGACACAGAAACTGTTGTCGAGAAATTCTACGTGGAACCTGGCTTCACTCTGGCTTCTCAAGCGAACCATATATTTAATTCTGTTCCGCCCGGGTTCGATCCCGGGTCTGGTCAAGTGGGATTTGTGGTGGACAAAGTGGTGCTGGGGCAGGTTTTCTCTGAGTACTTCGGTTTCCCCTGCCAATCTTCATTCTACCAATTGCTCCACAATCACCCTCACCTATCATCTGTGGCTGGTACAATAGGCCAGAAGTGGCCTCAGTACAAGGGACTTAGTCCCACCCCAATAGCAATAAAAAAAGCCAAGCAGTTAACCAGAAGTCATTGTTTTTTTAATTTTTCAATTTACCTAATCCTTCCAGCCGCACTATGGCCCCGGGGTCAACTCATCCTTTAACAGAAATGAACACCAGGGATCTTCCAGGGGGTAAAGGGCGGCCGGCGCGTAAAGCTGACAATCTCACCGCCATCTGTGAGCCGATTGTCTAGAGAAGGTGTGGGAGCCTCGACGTATCACAACCCTGTGGGTCTTCACAGCCTGTTACATGGATAACTTTTTAATATCTGTTTATTCAGAGAATTATACAGAACTCATAAACACACTATATAGATGAAACACATTTCAATATTAAAACTTTAAAAGGACAGTGTTTACTCGTGGTACCACGTCTTTCAACACCAAACGTACCTCTGCATTTTACTGACATAATGCATTAAGGAGATATTAGGTTTCCATAACAACAGCGACCCATCTGTATTTAAGCGTAACGTTTTCCTGTGAAGTAGAAACTGAATATAAAGTAAAAAAGTAAAGCTATCCCTGTACCAGGCCGTGAAGGTCCATAGGGCTCTGAGACGTTTAGGGTCCCACATTATCTAGACAATCGGCTCAAAAATGGCGGTAAAGTTGTCAGCGTTACGCGCCGGCCGCGCTTTACTCCCCAGGAAAATTATTTAATTAATTCCTGGTACTCATTTCNGAAATCCGTGTTTCAAGCTATTAAATGAGATGTTACATATATATAGGAGTAATTACGAGTGTAGTTTGAAGGGTTAACCTGTGGACTCCTTGTAACGTACAGTGTCTCTTGATTGTTTTGCAGACTGTGGCCCACTTACGCAAGTGCCCACAACAACCTGGGAACTCTGATGAGTGGAACTGACGAGGCGGAGAGCCACTTCCTAGCCGCCATCCGGTACTCTCCTAACCACGTGAATGCGCACTACAACCTGGGACAAGTGTACCGGTGAGTGTGTACTCCATTTCACAAGCTTTTTAATATACCTCTTATCCTCACACATTAGTACAATGCTGTAAATCCAGTGTGCTTAGCGATTGATTTACAGTAAACTCTTGCTAATCCGGGCATAGTTAATCAGGATCGAAAAATGAAAAATTCTGTTCATATTTGAGTACACACTTTAAAAGACACATGGCATTTAGGAGCAAGACGGATTAGAGCAAGAGGATTTTCAGACTGTATTGAGGGCAGCTGGAGGGACTGAAACTACGCAAGATTGGCTTCAGCTGATGAAGGAGACCATAGATTTCAGCTACTGACAGAGGAAGTATCTTTTGCTTCATTAATCTCGATGATATTTCCCCCCAGTTAATCCGGATTAGTGAGGATTTAGTATATTTAGGAAATCCCTGGGCACACAGATTCAGTTTCAAAGAAATAAGCACGGACCATTATATACGGTAGTTCAATCGTTTACGTAGTGATATATTCACACTTTTAAGTGCAGGATCATGCAATAAACAGCTCAAGAATGTCACAGTTTAGGAGGCTCATGTTCCCGTCTCAAACACAGTTGAGGAATATTAAAGAATTTCAGATTTTATATTTTCATTTCCTATAAAACTTTTAATATAATTATTTCTACAATAATAATTTTCAAATATTTATGTGAAAATAATATTACATTGTTAATTAGAATAACGTAGTCGGTATAGCGACTAGCTATGGGCTGGAAGGCCAAGAGGTTGGAGTTCGCATCCCGGTAGGGTCAAGAATTTTCTCTTCTCCACGTCATCCAGATCGGCTCTGGGGTCCACCCAACTTCCTATTCAATGCGTGCCTGGAGCTCTTTACCCGGGGGTAAAGTGACCTGGGCGTGAAGCTGACTGCCGAGGTCAAGAAGATGTTGATCTATGCATCTACTCCCCCATACGCCTTTATGGCGTAGTGCTTAGTGAAGCACAGGATCGTTTTTACCTATTACGTAATATTACATTATTGATGTTAAATTATATATTTTAAGGAAGAACACTTGGTTTATTAGGTTTATTAGCCTTTGCTTATATTTGTCATAACTGTTTAAAAATAGTGCCCAGGACATGACTCTGGTACTGAGAGAGGTACTGGGGCGCCGCTTTGGGCCACTCTGCCCCGAATACAGCCTTTGGTGTATGCGATTTTCGCCCTGCTGAATCTGTGAGAGTGCCGAAGCCCCGCAGTAGTGTATGAGCACTCACTCGAAAGTTAACCCAGTCGTGATGTAGGGAGAAATTAAAGCTTTGGGATTTTACTTATGGAAGCTGCGAAATTGTTTTATATATTGTCACGTGATGAATGTGACTACAGAAGGAGTTTGGATTGCCGATCGGATTTATTGAACACTTACAGATTGTAACTACAAGTAACTATAGCGCTATCGGTAATTCATAAACTTAGCAGTTCACTACAGCACGCACTAAGTCTTCTCAGTCTGTTGTGTCCACATCAGTTGTTGTCTGGTAACGGCTTTCAACGCCGTAGATCCCTCAACTTCCGTGTTCACGCATTTAATGGCGGGCGACTGTCTCGCAACAAACTATACTGAGTCTGAGTCTTATGTTACGACCGACGATCAGTCGGCCAGTCTGTCTTGGAATGAAGCACCGATCTGGGGCTTACGACGACATTTTTATTATTGTCAAACTGTTGCAGGTTTGTTGATGTGGGGCTCTCTCTCTGACGAGAGGACGAGTCTGTTATTTACAATTGCTGCTGGCCCTTGCCAACGCAGTCATTCTCGGTTCCGAGTCCCATGGGACTTGTGACCATATTTTACTCTCTCAGAGTCGAAACTTCCCTTTTCGTCGCCTCCTACGATTCTCAGGGCTACGGTGGAGGTATTCGACCCCGCTCACATACTGTAGATTTGTCCTGCTTATAACACCTGCACGAACCCAATAGAAAACACCTCTGCTGACATTTTTTCTGTTGTTGCATCACGTAGCTACACGCGGACCGCATGGAGAAAACATCTTCGCAGTTAGCCCACTGGTGTGTGTGTGTGTGTGTGTTAGGAATCTGTTGCTGCCATTAGCTAGCAACGGCTGTTGTTTACAGAGTCATCGCTTGGTAACAGGTCTACATGCCACAGTCTGATATAGTGTAGTTGCGAATTTTGGGCTCATACATACAGATCTAGAATTTTAGAACTTCAGAGGACATAAAGTAGATGATTAAAGACGATTGCAAAGCGCCAAAGAACAATAAATGTTAACTTCTTACATATAGATTTTTAGTAGTTAATTTGGTTAAAATACCTCCATATTCTGGCACATATTCACAAGAAAAAATGAACATCTACCCCAGCGAGTTCATAAGGCATGAGTGTGTGTAAAATGTTGATATGAACTCCGTTAACGTGCAGAAGAAACCACGGGACATGTCGCGACGAAATGAGGACATCCAAGAAGACACGAGTAAGCATGCAGACATAGAAAAAGAAACTGACACGAAAATTTGTACATTTATGCCTCTTGACGTATGCGATGTGACGAAAGAAGACAGCACAGTGGCACACATAACATTATTCGCATCTTTTGCCTGCTAAGAAAGCACGAGAAATTATTCATTTTGGACACATCATGGCACTTGTACTAAGAATNTGTCGCGACGAAATGAGGACATCCAAGAAGACGCGAGTAAGCATGTAGACATAGAAAAAGAAACTGACACGAAAATTTGTACATTTATGCCTCTTGACGTATGCGATGTGACGAAAGAAGACAGCACAGTGGCACACATAACATTATTCGCATCTTTTGCCTGCTAAGAAAGCACGAGAAATTATTCATTTTGGACACATCATGGCACTTGTACTAAGAATTGCTGTTAGATGACAGACAATTCCCAATGTCTCTTTGTGCTTCAAATACAGAGTGAATCGTATAGAACCGGCCCGATGAATTTGCTAATAATTCCGCAGGTGATGCATATAACCGCTCACAATTACGACATAATAATCCGTGGACCGTGCTGAGTCGAATGGTGTGCGCATGATCCGGCAAGTGGCAGCCCTTATGCTGCAAGGTCAAGGACAATGCCGAAACGTGTCTGCAGTGCGCAGGCGACAGTCATGGAGTGCACTGTTGAACAGCGAGTGTTTCTAATGCTTACTTGAAAACGGCGAATATTAATTCGTAATGATATTTGTGGACCAGATGAAGTATCTTTGCTGCTGTGTGTAAAGAACAGAACGCGTGGCTCTAACCTCAGAAGTCAAGACAAAGTAACTGCTTATTTCAGATAGATTCTTGGAGTCAAAATTTAGTCAAATCGAGACTTCTTAAATTCTGTAGTCCAGTGGGTAGCAACTCTGATTCGTATTCCGGAGTTCCGAGTTCAGACACCGGCTTTACAGACTAAGGTTTCCCATTCATTTTTTTGCTCTCTGGGGTTTACACCATCTTCCCAATTCATTGTTCATTAGAAAATATAATAAGTTTAATTTTAGCGGCGGTCAAGCATACGATCGTTCAAGTGACTAGGTAGCCGTTGTGACAGGAGCTACTTGAATTGGGGCATGATCTGTTATGCCAAGCTTTATATATATTATACAGTACATATGTACATATATACTAGAGTTGCATGTAAAACTGTAAATAGCAAGTGTCCGTAAGGAAACTGACTCTTGACAGTTGTAGAATGCCGACATGTAACTGTAGATCCTAAGGGATCCTGACAGTGGCGTATTACACTCAGAATTACTGAGTTCTTGGACTTTGTCCATCATCCGGTATTCTAGAAAACAGAAAACATGGCGTTTCGGAAAATGGATCTGTTTCCGTCCTCAAGTGAGATGGGGAGAAGGGACCAAATCAGTTGGGTCCCTTAGAAGAGCTCTTTCTAAAATTCTGACCCATATGTAAAATTTAAAATATAGATGACATGTACTACTGATTTTGACCTCGGTAAATATGACTGCGCTGGCGAGGGCCAGGAACGATTGTAAATAATAGACCCGTCCTCTCGTCAGAGAGGGCGCCACAGATGAACGAACCCTCAATTGTCTAACAGTAATAAAAATCTGGTATTGGGCCACAGATAGGAGCTTAAGACCAAGACAGACTGGCCAACTGACAGTCAGTCGTAATATAATTTTGACTTTGACTTATTCATTTATATCGGACGATAATCCTGTTGTTCGATGCTACATAAGCCTAATCTGATCTATTGAAATCGTTATTAAATGGGCCACACATAAATAAATAAACCAATCAGATCTAGCCGTAGGCTTATAATATGTGATGTATAATGTTGGTGTGGGATTTCGCACAACATAAAACTGCCATTGAGAATATCTGAATTCAATTCACGAGCCTTAAAATTGCGGACTAGAATTCGGTTAATTTACTATATACTAATTGGCAGAAGGCTTTCAGCTCTGCTGTGTTACATACTTCGCCTTCATCAGATCCACGGGTTTGGTCAGGTTTCATCAAGCAATTTGTGGATCACTACATATAATTGGTTCATTTTCATTCTATGTTGGTTCTATTCCAGCAGCCTTTTCGTGTTACTCTAATCGCTTCAGAATTACCCAATAACACAACTGAAACGGTTCTGAATTTGCAGTATAATTTAGCGATGCAGCGTAGATGCTTTGCTTATGAAAATTCATATTTGATAGTAAAAATAGGACATGGTATTCTATTAGCATCATCACGTGTATGGGGGTATCACTATCTATGGGGTTTTATATTTGATACTGGATTTATTGACCACCTGAAGGTCGTAACTATAAATAACTATAACACTATCTCTATTATCACATTTTACAAATCACTGCACTCTATCTTCTCCAGTCTGCAATATCTTCACTAGACGTTTCCTGGTAACGGATTTTAACAGTAAAGATTCTTCTGCTTTACTCGCTCAAGTTCTTTTCATTTAATCCTGTACAGAACTAACTTTGTGGCCCCAATTATCTTCTTTATAACTCCTCGGCACGTACCGAGTAGAAAACACCG